ACCTGCAATAATATACATAAATATATTTAAAATCATAAGCCCTGGGTTTACATTTCCTCATAAATGCAACTTTTTAATGGTAGTCTTATGGCCAACTAGCCAACCAATGCTACATAATACTGTTACCTAAAAATTCTTACAAGAAATAAAATGGCAATATTTCATTACTATTTATTATAATTTACCAAATATTTATTGAGGAAATATTGACTGCATAATGAAGAAATGAGTAATGAAAAAAAAAAATTACATTACTATTGTAATCACGTGTCAAAGTGATACTATTATCATCATCATTATGTATCTACTTTTACTATTAAATAAAATCATCTGTAGAGTTTAAACCAGTATAATAATAATATAAAATAAGATAACAATAATGATAATAATAATAATAACCACATATCACAATATAAAAAAAGGTATCTCAGATCTATACTTTTCAATTGGGAGGATTTAAACAATTGGAAAGAAAATGAATCATAATTTCCTTCTTGAATCTAGGAATGTCATGGGGAAAAGGGATATAAATAAAATAATAGCTGTACCAGAATCCAATGTATCTGTTATGGTAGCACATCCACCTAAAGGCACATCTGTCTGTACACTGTGCTTCAGTCTTTTGTAATGCACTTTTTTTTTAACAGCATCAATAGTAAGCCTTTGCATCTGGACTATGTTGTATTGACACACAGGTAAAACATCCAGGAACTTGAGAGACATATAAGATTGCAGACCTCATGAAGACAGAAGAAGTCTGAGTCAAACCCACAGCTAAACTTGCACATGTCTGATTACAAAATCTAGCAAAATCTTTTCCACCCACACTTTGGGAAGAAACAGAAGCCTTAACTTCATGTCTCTACACAAGACAGCGGTGAATGAACAGGACATATATATTAATTCCTCAAAATATGCAGACCATCTTCTCTATCTACTTTATGTATAACAGTACAAAAGCACGAAGTACCATCTCTCCAGATGGGATATATAAGCCTGTCTCTATTCTTTGAACTTTATATTTGTGTCATATGCTAAGCAGTGACAGCTAAGAAAAGTTTGGTCCCAGTGCCATGAGGTTTAGAGTGACATAGCACTGGAATATAAGGAAAAAATTCCTTTAGTTTCTTTGTAGCTTCACTCACTCAATCAATTGTGCATGCACGCACACACATACGCAAACACACACGCGCGCACACACACACACACACACACACACACACACACACACCACACACACACACACACACACACACACACACACACACACACACACACTCACTCACTCACTCACTCACTCACTCACTCACTCACTCACTCACTCACTCACTCACTCACTCACTCACTCACTCACACTCACTCACTCACTCACTCACTCACTCACTCACTCACACTCACACTCACACTCACACTCACACTCACACACTCACACTCACTCACACTCACACTCACACTCACACTCACTCTCACACTCACTCACTCTCACTCTCACTCTCACTCTCACTCTCACTCTCACTCTCTCTCACTCTCACTCTCACTCTCACTCTCACTCTCACTCTCACTCACACACAGTCACTCACTCTCTCTGTTCCAGCTTTCTCCCTGTGTAAACATATGTACAGAAATATGCAAGGCAAATTCAGATTTATATATATATATTCTAAATCACTTGCCTATCTCTTTACAACTTAGAAAATACCATTTCAAGTAAAGCAAAGGCATGGATCTTTATAGTATACATCCTGAATGAGAAAGAAACCCAAATAGTACTGTGAACAAACGTGCCTTTAAGATATATACTAATCACTTTACATGATAATTACTACATATCTATATACTTTATGTATGTATATAAGTTTGTATACATGTGTTTATGTATTTATGTATGTTTATGCTGAAATGTCCATGAATGCATATATGAATTTATGTATGCATGTTTCCTCATATATATTATTTCTTTTCTTAAGTTAGGGATAAAGCTATCTTAAAAAAAAATCTGAATAGCATCTGCTGGATTTTGTTCAACAGGACAGTAGGGGCACTTCAACCTGTAAAATAAATATGTAAATCAGTAAGCATGAGTATTCATATATAAAAGTGTTTATCCATTTGTCAATAAAATTCATGTAACAGAAAATGAAATGCAAGTCATGTTCACTTTATACATCAATTCATAATAAACTTTTTAGAGACTTTCTATAGAGACATTCTGGTTAACTAACAATATACAAGATATATAACACAAAATAGTAACTTTCTCAAGAATAAGGCTAAAAAAAATCTTACTTTGAACTGGTTGTAAGCTTATTCAGGGCATCACGTGAGATCACATGACCACATATCAACCTCATGGGAGGATTAGATTCTGTTGATTGCTGACGTAGAATAGGACACGCAAATATTGAATGATAACGAGATGATGGGCCAAGATCAATCTCAATCTGAAATGAAAGTAAATATATTACCAGGTAATAAATCTACCACAAGACATAAGCCCAGA